CAGTCATCCTAGAAAACACAGAAGGCACTTGTGAACAAGGCTTGGCTACTCCAATTTTCACATACGTCTCATTTCATATGGACCAAACAGTACACCTCCCCTGAGAAGCCCCGTTCAAGACCTACGCTCCTCACAGAACCCAACTTCTGCCTCCTTGTCCAGCAAAGGATGGCACCGTGTACGCTCATTATCAGCACAACATATTATCGAATGTAACTACCTGTACCAGTTGGTAAGCGTCATCATGATATACAGCGATGCCAGGAAAAGCATGAAATGAAAGAAGGAGTAACTGTAAGTAACCCCATCCCTCTCGTTATCGATGGCTCGGTGAACATCGTCTCCATCATCGAGGGAGCCGTCACTCCTGGGCATTCCGTCCTCTATCAGTGTCGATTCATCGCTGGTCAGCATCAGCTTGTTCACTTGGCTGTTGTTGGACGTTCGGATGCTGTATTTGACAGGAAAGGACACAGCACAGTTCCCCAAAGAAATACAGTTTAGTACCTGACGATGAGAAGTAACGTGAGCGAACAGGAAATTTTTGAAAGGAAGCTTACCTTGAGTAGAGAACACACAGCAAAAACAAAACCAGTCCAACAATTCCTTGCGCATCCCACCACTGAACTACCTGACCTTGGGTTGGAATGGTGGTGCTGTTGTAACCAATGATGCTCAGCAAACTTGGGTTACAGCGCCTATCTGTGGGGAAAATTACATTAGAACTTACAAAAAACAAGAACAAGTATTTAATAGTACATTTCCACACCGAATGCACAGTAATAGAAAGGAACTTTGTGACTGTGACAGTCTTGAAGTAAAAAAGCCTTGAATCTAATTTTAGCCTTTTGAGTCTCTCTAAAGCAGGCAAATGACAGCATGTGGCATAAAAACCTGTCTCTTTGAGCAGATAAAAGGATTTTAAACTTATGTAAGATATGCATCAACTGCTTTACTGTTCCATCTCATATAATTAGACACCACAAAATAGTAATGCTCTGCATATTACACTTTAGAAATTCTATCACTAGAAAACAAGTTTGACAAACACGTATTCTATAGATGGGGTACCCGAGTCACCTCACAGTGGGAAAAGGATGCTACAAAGTCAGTTTCATATTATCAACAGTTCCCCAACCCCCAGCATCCACAGGTAACACAGATGAAAGAGCTGAAAGTGGCAAACAACCTTATTCCCCCATAATTACTGCAGGAATTAAGAGATGACTCACATGCAGGCTGTTACACAGAAGCACAACAGACTGTCCATAATGAAGATAAAGGGGCCAGACACCCAATTAAAAACATCAAAATCAGTATTTGGCAGTTTAGTTTAATCACCAGGATTTCTCTGTTTATCTATTTATTTAAGAGATGCTCACCTGTTTTCAGACACAAGAAACACTGCCAACATTTCTTAATACATTTTTTTTAACTGTCAGTTCAGAAAAATATCATCCGTAGCATCTCGGTCACCAGGTAAGAAATTTGAAGCCTGGTAGGGAGATGAACCTTCCAGACGCCTTGGAAGAGCTGTGGTAATCTGCAAAACCTAGGCTTTAGGATACTGCAACCCTGCCAATAACAGGCAGAAATTCTCCCGTATGATAAACTTAAGAGGAAGTGAAAAACACGTCACCTTTAGAAGAACTATTTCTTTGGTATTATTACAGAAAGTTGGGGTGGGGGGAGAGAACACTAACGAGCCCTGCCTCTACCTTGCATGCACAATAGTAGCCCATTCAAATATTGCCTTGCAAAAAGGTGAAGATACAATATTCTGCTGAGCTTGTTACCCAAAAAGCCACAAATAGCTACTGCACTTACCTGGTTCATTGGTCATAGCTGACCAAGTCAAATACATCGTATAAATTGTGATCACAGAAGACTGCAGCAAACCAGATCTTGGCTGAGATTCCTACACAAAGCAGTCATGAAACAGCAAAGTTAGGCAATTAAAACTCTTGGGCACAATTATATTATAGGTTTCTGGGACTGATAACACAAAGAAACCCTAAAAGGTAACAATTAAAACTATACCTGAATCTTCGGCAGAATTGACATTATAGAAGCACCAATACAGAGCAGCATATTAACACTGATGAATGTCTTGTTTTCAGAACAACCTTCTGGATGAGTGTAATACACATAAAACAAGACAATAGCTACTAAGGACAGCAGGTAATTGACAGCTGTAGCCGACAGTAGAGCTGTGAAGAGAGACAAAAACAGAGTTAAACTGGTTAATAACAGAGAGTATTAAAATTGAAGCAATATTGCATGACTATCAGGTTTTGGATACGGTACGCCATGACAATCAGAGAGCAGGTCTGGGCACTGAAACGTAAAGGAAGTAAGTTCTTCTCAATACTTGGAGGCCTCAGAAAGAACACAGTAAATGAGAAGCCTGGAGCCATACTCCATTCTCGTACCTTGATTCACACTTGATGAAGCAGAGCAAGTACGAAGGACTGCAGTTAGGCTATATGGACTTTGACTAAAAGCTTAAAAAAGAAACTGAGTAACTACTTCTCCAATAGATGGAAAAACAAAATCACATTTCCGGATTCCATCTGATTAAAACCAGTAAAGAGTGAAGCAGCCACTGCACGAAGACAGACTGTGCTGTCTTTTGAAACACCTGAATTATCACATCTGAAACGCTTTATTAAAATTAACATATCATTTAACCAGTGAGGTGACTTGTACTCTCCTTCACTATCCTGGCCTTTCACTCAGCACATACCTCCAAAGAATGACAGGAAGAAAACACAATTATTTGATATGCTTATGCTCAACAAGAAGCATTAACAGGCTGGTTCGTTTTTAATCAGTGCTAAGGTGTAACAAAACCTGTGGCTCAAAAAAACCCCCAAAACCTACAATTGCCACTTCTCTGCCTCCATAAACTGCTGTCCTGATCCCAGGGATTAGATCTTAGTACTCAGAGGCCGCTGCCCCTCTCCCTGCCCCCACCCTAATTTAACCAACATGAAAAGGACAGCAAGACAGCGGAGCTCGACCACACCATCTGAGAAAGGGATACTTACGCACAAAGCAGCCCTTCTGCGCTCTGGTAAAATGCACTGCTCAGTGAGTAACTTGTTTAGCACAACACACAATGAAATTTAAAACTGTAGTACAGTCCTTTACCTGCATACCAGCATCTTGAGTTTCCTTCCTCCATTTTTTCAACCCAAGATTCGTTCCAGGAGTGGGCGAAGTCAATAAGCAAGACCAACTGAATAAGAATAAAGCAGAATGCTCCAGCCATACCTACATAAAACCACACTAAAAGAGAAATAAAACAAAACCAGTCAGAACCATAGATAATTTATCACCCTGTCTCAATGTCCCTAAACACAGAAAAGTGCTATAGTCACACAGACACAATTAAAACTATGAGACATCAGTATGCACCCAGTTTTAAAACCAGTTATGACTGCACCATGATACAGTGGAAGACAATATTCCCTTACCAGTTGTAAATGGTCCCTCTGGTATGAAGAAAGCTCCAACGCTAATTGCAAGCGCTGTTGCAAATTTAAAGAACCAGAATCTAAAGGTGGAGGGAACAACAATAAAAAAGAAAGTCAGGCAACTGCTGAAGTCTGATCTAATTCACAAAACCTTGAAAGTACACAAAGGGCACATCCTTAAGAGTTGTTTTCTAATTCACTCATTCTTACCTCACTTCTTTTGAAGTAGGATAAAAATCTATTTTATCTGCCCAAGACTTTTGTTCTCCAGTAAATTATGCTTAAACTGTGCTAGACTGACACACAGTTTTGACACATTTCCCAGAGAGATCTCACCCAGGTATTACAAATGAAGCCAGGGTAGAAAATAATTGTGAGCTGGTATTGCTTTTGCCTTTTTTTTTTTTTTTTTAAGAATGTTTTTAGCTAGAGCAGCACAATTACTGAGCTGCCTGTATATCAGAAAAATGGGTTAAAAAAATTCCTACTGTTTTTAATATCAAGACCAAAAAAGGAGATCTGCTTGGTGCCTACAATGATAGAAAACACTATGCTGGAGTTCCCTACCAGTCTTCATTCATTTTCTACGAGAGAGAGATGAACAAAAGCCTGGATTCTTCCCACCTGACTTCAGACTCTTTAGGCCTAGATCTGATGAGGATTTATCGCAACAACAAAAGGAAAGGATTCGTCCTTCGCAGAAAGAATACAGTCAATTTCTAAGTCCCTGTTCCAGTGCAGTAGCATCAGAATGTTTTTTCCCCCAGTAAAAGACATGCACTCATGGACAAGCAAAACAGATCAGATGTTTCCTAGAAAGCAGACAAGGAATTATCTTCCACCAAAGACTCACCAAACTCACCCCAAACACAGGCTGCAGACAAATATACCCCGCACAGGGAACTTCAAATCAAAAAGTTATTCCCACAGAACTGTGAGAAGGTGAAGACTGGTTTTTCTGATCAGAGTGACAGGCAGCTCCAAGCACAGGCACGGTACCATCTACAGGTACTTCAAAACTGAGCATAGCACAAAGACACGCACCACACTCCCGCGACATCAAACACTTGCACCGTTTTCAAGCTTTCTATCCTTTCCTGTTTTTTCCCATACTTTGAACAAGTTTAATCTCTCCTTCTGGCTGTTACAATCAGGTCACAGTGACCAGAGGAATAAATTCCAGTTGGGTGGAGAGGAACTGTGTGAGATGAAAGAAGTGCACAATATGGGAAAAATGGACCAATTCACTGGCATACAGAGAAGGGACTAAATCCAGTTTGAGAGGTGAATTAACTTAAAACTAACACGATGTAGTACACACCCCACTAAAACTAGTTTTTGAATATACATGTGGAATTTCTTTTTTTTTTTTAAATCAATGTCATTCTCAATTATAGAAGTAAGAACAGGTTCAAGTTTGTATAAATTTCACCTCCAATTCAAGACTTTTTTTAAGGGATCTTAACACTCTACCCATACAATGTTCACGATGGCCGAAAACAATATTCATCTAAAATAACACCTACAGTTGCTATGCATTCTGTGCAAGACAGCAACAATCCTGTGAATACATTTTAAGTGATTTTTTTCTGTTATCATTATTAACCTGAAGCAAGAAACCATTCTGACTGCTGTTACAAAAGCAAAGAAGGTAACCATTGGCACCGGACCACACTACTGGGCTTAACTTGCATGCAAGTACGGGAAAATTAGGACACGTACATGGGAAAACCTAATATTCTGAATATTTCAACTCACTGACAGAAAGATTACACTGCAAAATATTACTGAAGATACATATAGTTTCAAAAAATCAAAAGCCACCGTTTTCATAAAGCTACCTGTACTGCATACTATTGAAGCAACTCATTATTACAGAAGTGTTGGAAGTAACATGATTAAATATTTTACCAGTTAACAGTTGACGAGTATCATTTTTCCTTTTATCCTAGCGCTGACACTAGCTTGGCTAAGAAGAGTCAACTGCTACGGGTTGCATAAATAGTAGCAAAACTTGTACTGGAGAGCACATACGGGTGTCAAGAGAATCCCCAACACTTCAGAAGTGGTTTTAGGTGAAAAGATTCTACATCTTGTGAAAGGTGTCTTTTATTGTAAACAAACAAAAAACCCCAACCCACAAAGTGTCGATAGAGAATGTACCTGACCCATTTTCTTCTTGCTTGTAACAAGTATGCTCTCCTGAACAAAGCAGGGTGGAGGGAAAAGCTGAACTGAGTCACTGCTGCTAACGCACCTCAATACTGTACCCGGCCTCTTTTTCTTTAGACCAAAACAAACAAAAGTAAACAAAGCAATATTCTGCTCAGTCTTAATTATTTTCTTTTCCCCTAGAGAAATCAATTGAAGTTTTTTCTCAGTTTATGCTAGAAACGTTTAACCTTATTATACGGAATATAAAAGCAAATGACTTCTTCATTTTTATGGCTTAGCTGTTCACAGCTTCCATTAAAAATAATCATCTTGAAAAAGCAGTAGTCTAAGCAATCACTGTGACCAGAGAGACCAGGCACCATAAATGGTTTTATGCTTTTTAGCACCAAGCCCTATCACAAATGTTTACATCTCCTTGGTTCAAGAAGCTGCATTACACATAGGCTGATCCTGGATGAAAACTACCACTTGTGTCAACCCCGCAAGCTGAAACTGCACTATTATCTTCCATCTGACAACCCTAACTATAATGAAGTACAAAACAAAAATTTACTGGGAAGCTCAGAAACTACATGTGTAATTCACTCTTCTTTACGCAGAGAGGAGACTGAAGAACAGATAGCAGAGGCAGAACAGATATGTAACGTATCTACA